GGTACGTTCTAGAAAACACTTCAGCCAAGCTTATTGAGATGAGTTTCCAACTGGAGGAGCCGGTGACCCGAGTCCCATTAGCAGGAAGAAAAATGGGACTTTTAAAAATGGGTAAGCATGAGATTCGTTCATGTTTTTGGTTTAATATACAGTGGGGTCCAAAAGTCCACACTGAAAGTCTGTGACTAAAACAAATCTTATTTAAAGTTTTAGGATGTTGAAATATTTAAAACAAAGAAATATTATGAAGTACAAAAAAGAAGAAAGACTTATGCTTCGGCATTGGATCTAGGTCACTAATCAAAATGTCAATGGCATGTCATTTTTCAGTTGTAATGAAACTAGTGGTCTTTTGGCCCAACTGTACATGTTGTATATTACAAAATGGGTAGGTACAGTACTGGCATCTGATTGGTCAATTCAACATCAATTATGTCAAGAACTATAGGCCTGTTCACACCAAGGAAGATAACAATAACTCTAAATTTTGAATAATTGTTCCCCATTACAATAAGAAGTCTACATCACAGGTATAACGATCATGACAATGAGAAACAATATTGTTGGAACCACTTTCAGAATGTTTTTCCTGCTGATGAATGATAAAAACACAGACAGCCAAACAGAATCGACCCAACTCTAAAGAGCTTTTAAAGCACTAAACAACATAACTGCAGTACATGCTTATAAGAATCCATTGGTGTGGACAATTTTGTAGTTATTGTTACAGTTATCTTTAAAGTTATCGTTTTTGGTGTGAACAAGCCTTATATCTTTAAGCATAAGGATGCCACTTACTGAATTCTGATTTGCTAATAGTAGAATAGTATATAGTATAGTACTATAGGTGAATCAGTACAGATTATGTTATGGTAAACACACACATACATATATATATATACACATACATATATATATATATATATATATATATACACACACACACACACACACACATACATATACTGTGTGTGTGTGTGTGAGAATAAATTACATTTATCCTAATTTGGACTAACAAATATATTCCAGCAAATGACATGTGAACCTATGAAATAAATGCTATTTAGCTTTTTTTAAATTCAATTTTTGGAGTTAAAAAAGGGTCTGTTTTGGAAGTCTGATCAAAATGAGCCAAGAGGAAAATGTTAATCACAAGTGATATTACTTACGGCCCACTAGTCACACATGGAAATGGAAGGTCAAGTCGAGAGCATTGCATTGCAGGACACAGTTTGCCACTCAGTGTGTCCTGCTGTATGCTAAGTGTTTGGCAGCATAGTAAATCATTGGAGTATTTCATAAATAAAGAACATATGAATATAACAAAGTACACATATTGAAAAAGTAGTAAAGAAGTATGACTTTCTGCAAAGAGACTGAGCCCTGCATTGTAGTGCCTGGACGACTCATCAGTAAAATCGTATGTCAGGTTAACAAGCCTTTAAAGGAAAAATTCACCCTGAAATGAAAATAGGCATCATTTGCTCTCCCTCAAGTTTTCCCAAACTTGTACGAGTTTCTTTCTTCTGCTGAAAACAAAAGAAGATATTTTGAAGAATGCTGGTAACCAAACCATTGACGGTAGCCATCGTCTTCCATAGTATTTTCTTTCATACCATGGAAGTCAAGGGCTACTGTCAACTGTTTGCAACTTGAGGGAGAGCAAATGATGCCTATTTTCATTTTTGGGCAAACTATCCCTATAAGTTGTACTTAATACTTAATAGTAACAATTTTAGTAGTATTTATTATTATTAATAATATTTTATATATATTTTTTTTAATTAAATGTAATTCAGAAAGCCTTTTTAGCACTAAGAACCATCCACTATGCCAAATCATTTTCTATCGGTAACAGAAATTTGGTTACTTGTCTCCCAATTTTTGTGAGCATTAACAGAAATTATGTGAGATTTGGTGCTTTTTTTTTTTTTTACGAACAAGATTAAGCCTACGGTGGACGAGAAGTGCAAAACAAATCACAATTCTGAAAACAAAATAACAAATTACAAACGCAAATGCAAGTCTAAAAAACTAAATAATTCAGAAAGCACAGCAACTATTCAGAAAACATTATAACAAGTCAGAAAACACAATGACAAATCCGAAAACAAATGAACAAGTCAGAAAACACAACGACAAATCAGACAAACCGGAAGAGGGAGCTTATCCATCTGCGCCACTGGAGCTGATGATTCACAGCTACTTTTAACTAAATGTAAATAGACACCCCGTATTTTTTATTCCATAGTAAGGGCAATTCATACAATACATTTAAACTGAGCTACTTTAATACCATCTCCGAACTTTCTACCACGACTCTGCTGTTCTTCGGCTGGTTCTTCCTGTATACGTTGATTGACAGATGTCTCGTCCAGTCAGCGGTGAGTAATCCCAAACCAATGGCGCTGTCTCAAACTATACCTACCTCTTCCGGTTTGTCTGATTTGTCGTTGT